TAAAGAAGATCTGACCATCAGCCTATAATGAGTCATCATTTTAGGGTTTAGTATACCACAAGAGAGGAGTAAGGGGTACTGTGCATCTACTCTATGTACACAAAATGAGACCTAAAGAAGATCTGACCATCAGCTTATGATTAGTCATCATTTTAGGGTTTAGTATACCACAAGGTGCAGGAGTAAGGGGGGCTTTACACCTAAGTACACTTCAAAACAAAATGAGACTGACATAATTTCTTTCCCATACAGACAACAAAAGGGAGATCTTCGTGTCAATGAAGAAGATTATGGCCATGGGATGAGGCCAGTGCAAATGAAGAATGACCCACCCATGGCAAAAAGTGGTGAAGTTTACTATGGTAATGATAACAAAGGACGGCGAGGAAGTGATGATTCATTTGAAGGACAGTATGATGTTGCTAGGCCGGGAGCATCTACTTACTATGACAATCCTGTCGATGATTCAGTTGAAGAACAGTATGATGTTGCTAGGGCACAATCTAATTACTATGACAACATTGCCATGAAAAAGGTAATCCATCAAGAACTATTTTTATGTAAGATCAAACATTCAAAAAAGTGCACAATATCTAGGCATTGCCATATATTTTAAGATGGGCTTCCTTCAAACATAAATCATGCAATCATGCATAGAGAAATGGGAATTGATTTAATCATTGCGTAGTTCCAGAAATCATCCATACCCACCCCACAGAGGAATTTGGAATTTCCGAAGAGTAGGGGGGTCAGAGAAAGAACAAAAATTACAGAGTTTGTATGGAAGAAAATTGGAATTTCTGGGGGGTATGGGGGTGTCTTAAAAAAATTCCTCCGTGAGGGGGTATGGATAATTTTTGGAACTACACATTAGTTTGTTGACTGTTGACTAATTGACTGTTGACTGGTCTGATTGCTTGTTTGTTTATCGATTCATTTATWGAGACTGGTTGGTAGATTCATTGATCGGTTGATTGAATGTTCAATTCATTGATTAATTGTTTAATTGATTGGGTAGATAATTGGTCGATCAGTTTATTATTTAGTCCATCAATTATGTCATCGAACATGCAAGGAGTGATTACTCAGTCTCATTACTCACCTTTTAATAGAGTGACTAATTACTTGATTGATTTTTAATCTGTTTCAGGATAAAGAATCACCAATGTAAGCATCACCTGAACATTACCATACATGCAACGTACTTACTGCGCATGCACTATGCACATTAATCAATATTAACCAAGTAAATGGCACGAGGAAAGCAACAAGTTGAAGTTGGAGAAAGAAACATAATTTTCCATTAAGGATGCACTATCTTACACTGTTATGTCGTTATAGCACATATAAAACAATAAAAAGGTTAAGCCTTGCCATATTCAATATATCCAGTAGAAAGGGATGAGAATTTGAATGAAACGTTCAAAGTTGAAATAGTTGTTGTGTTTCAATTTAAGAGACTTTGATCGGGCTTGAGTTGATATGCATTTTGCTGAATAAGCATTTATAAAAATGCTTTACCATAGCAAAATCATAATGATGCTCATTAAAATTCATAAATAGTCATTGTATTAATCTATCAGTTTTCTCTGTAATCACAGAGTGGGACAACCATGTGTTCATGGTATAAATTGGGAATAGTTGGTGCAAAATAAGGGAGCATGTATTCAAATCTTTAAAACATTTCCTGCTTCCCCTCATATGAGGCACACTTCCTTTGATTTTTCTCCACCTAAACCCTGACTGGTGCCCCCCCCCCCATTCGCAATACTCTTATTTATTTTTTGCTTAGATAACTGCACGTCTCTTTTTCCTGGGTTAAACCTAGATACTCTCCATATTTGCACCAACCTCCCTTGGTCTAAAATAATCATGATGATAGAGTACATACAATATAACCGTGAAACTTTAGTAATACTAAATAGCACAATTTCATGCAAATTCCATTGTTTTTCTATTGTTTAATTAGCACTATTTTGTACTATTTAGTAATTAGAGATTCACGGATTAATTGCTTGCACTCTGCTGTAAATTCATGACATTTTGTACTTTTTTGATAATTTTTTAAATCACAATAAATTGTTAAACAATACAATTTTTGTTAAAAAAATAAACACTTTTAAAGAGTTGAAGATGCTAAACTTGTGCTCATGTTAATTGTGAACTTTAGGCAGGGGGCTGATTTTACATAAAATGTTAAACATTGAGTAACATTTTATGCATTAGGCATCATACATTGGTATAATGTAACCCTGTAATGACCCTATGGATCTGTGCCAATGGCCTAATTGGAATATAATGTAATAGGAACACTGATTCAGGCTGATGTATGAAGAACATTAGATAAAAGTAAAGGTAAAAGTTAAATTTGACTGGCATGTACATGTATTGTAGGGCCATGCAGGGTCATTTTGCTGGCATGTGTTGTAGGAGAAATGCAGGATCATTTTACTGGCATGTGTTGTAGGGCCATCCAGGGTCATTTTACTGGCATGTGTTGTAGGGCCATTCAGGGTCATTTTACAGGCATGTGTTGTAGGGCAATGCAGGGTCATTCTACTGGCATGTGTCTTAGGGCAATGCTGGGTCATTTTACTGGCATGTGTTGTAGGGACATGTAGGGTCATTTTACTGGCATGTGTTGTAGGGCCATCCAGGGTCATTTTACTGGCATGTTTTGTAGGCCCATGAAGGGTCATTTTACTGGCATGTGTTGTAGGGCCATCCAGGGTCATTTTACAGGCATGTGTTGTAGGGCAATGCAGGATCATTTTACTGGCATGTGTCTTAGGGCAATGCTGGGTCATTTTACTGGCATGTGTTGTAGGGACATGTAGGGTCATTTTACTGGCATGTGTTGTAAAGACATTGTTTGTACAATTTTGGAAGAAAAATAGTGAAAATCAAGTTCTGTACAAAAAAATCATAAAACTGAAACTAAGGAAGAAACATGGGGGATATTACCTGTTATTCTGGAAAATAACAAAACAAAAAATATAGAGTCGGTAGTTGAGAATAAAAGGTTTTTAGATTAACTAACAGCTACAGTATGCTAACCATATCAAGAAAAATACTACAACATTGTAGAAAGATTTGGACAATTCACCATTTTCCATGCATTGGTTCACTGGTCAAACACAAAGCATTCACTMGAGKTKGCAAGGTTCAAATTTGAATAATGTATTGAAACTACCTTGACACCTCACTTGAGTGATTTGTGTTTGACCAGTGAACCAATGCATGGAAAATGGAGGATTACACTGCAAAAATCAAATGGAATTTTATTTCTCTGCCTTCTCCTTTAAAAACTTTGTCACTATAGAATTAAACTCATTGGCATATCGTAAATGCAGGTTATGTCGGCCTTCAGGCATCAGGTACAACGTAGAGTCTGTGATATTTTTATGAAGGTACTCTGGATGGAAGTCTGGAACCAAGGGGTCTTTCTGCCCATGGATGATCAAGGTGGGACATTTTATCTTGGGTAGATACTCTCGACAAATGTTGCCATCATTTTGCTTGGAAAACCTATCAAATGCATCTATCCAGCCACCCCACATGGACTTTAAGCCTTGCTGTCCGTACATTGCTTTAAAAAGGAATTTCAAATTTGTGATCTTTATATTACAGCTGTTATTATTTTATAAAAATCAAAAAAAATTATTTCGYTAACTCTTCTGTTAAGCACTGCTATTAACTGGCAATATTTAAACAATTTATAAGTTTTTTTGTGTGCAGTTTACAAGGGCAGATCCAGGTATCTGAGAAAGGAGGGGCCACGGCCCCTATCACCTCCACCCCTAATCCATCCTTGTTCTACACAATACTAAAGGTGGATCAGACCTCAGACTGTGATAATGAATTTATTCAAAATGACACCCATCATGTTGAATAAATATCCATTATAAAACGGGGGCCTTGAACTCAGAACCTCTCTCTGGGTCCACCAACATCTGTATACAGTATATCACTGCCCTATGCTGTACTGTGCTACTCATACATTGAATACCTATCAAAATTGTCAGAACAAAATTGACACATTTTGATGCAAAGCTGGCTGGTTTTACCAAATGAGGCATTCACAAAAGTACAGTGCGCAAATACAATTAATATGGTTATACTTTCGCACCTTTCGCTATAAGTCTATCTAAAAAAGTCTAGATTGTAGTTACCTTCAAGAGGGGCTTTCATCTTCGGATGCCATGTATCTGTATCTCTTAATTTCTCGTATGTTTCCATTTCTTCATTGGTCACAAATGAGTTGGAACCCCAGATAACCATCTTGTCAATGGCTCTTGGGTTACTTGCTGCAAGGATCATAGCCGTTATACCCCCATCACTCCAACCAAGGAGAGAGTATTTCTTGAAACCTGTGCATAAATAGTAAAAAATAATTATCAGAAAGACAAATGCTCTTAACGTAAGCAGACAAAGTGGGAATGTAAAAAAATGACACAATTTTTGAGGGTTTTTTGCAAATGCATTACTAGCTAAAATGAACTGACTTTTGAACATCCAGTTTTATAAACATGAATTAATAATTCTCCCAAAGAATTTACTGAAGACCAAAAGATCGAAAAATAAATCCTACTCCCATTTAAGTAATTTATTTCTATTTATTTATAAGTTGAATAAATCAGTCTAGTGTGCTTGATCCCATTATCCCAGTGGAATAGAACGTTAATGAATATCCCATTTCTTGGGATTTCTACCATTGTTTTAGTTGACCCCTCCTAGATCTTCCTTACTTTCACTTTACATGACCCCTCACTCTTGACCCTTGACCCAAGACTTCTGTCTTCTTTACTGTGCATGCTCAACAAAATGCCAGAGACTCTGTGAAACCTTAGAATTTCTAAAGCTGTGATTGGTTATCTATTTCTCACTATATAATAAGCCTGAAGCGAAATGACATTCTACCCCCATCTCTAGACCATAATAGTTTTTAAAATTCTTTCATATTTAAATTTTTGATTCCTTAGAGAATACAGGAACAATAGTCATAATTAAAGAACAAAAGCAATGTGAAAAGGATTATGGTCTAGAGACGGGGGTAAAACATCATCTCGCATCAGGCTTATTATCCATTGAAAAACTGCTCTATGTAGCAAAAATGCATAAAAGCCCTTGCGAATTATACCAATTGCCTTGAGAGCCAATAAAATGGGAATGCAGCTGTAAAATAATATTTTTGGAGTGAAATAAAAACCTGTTGATTAGGGGGTGGGTGCCCTAGCTATAATTCAAATTCTAGTATGAACATTCAGTGGCAGGTCCAGGAATTTCAAAAGGCGGGGGGAGACAATTAAAGGTCTTATCAAGGATTGCAAGGAAAAGAGGGTGGCTTACTGAGGATAATACTGAGAAATTTAAGCGAAAGGAGAATTGCTAGCCACTCCTTTCACCACCCCTGGCATTACATATCTTGTAGCTAGACTTCTGGCCTGCGCACGCTAAGGTTTCCAGAGTTTTTTTGGCATTTTGTCGAGCAGCAAGAGTGACAGGGCTGTAAGATAACCCCCTAGCTTTCATCCTATTTTATTCCTACCCCTGGCTGTCCGGTGAGCAGGGCTAAAAATAAATGAATAATTACGACACCAGTTTGTAAAATAATATATAAAAACCTGATTAAATATTAGCTATTCATAAGGTTTTTCACACACACAATTTTTTACAGTTAAAAATCTTCACCTAGTTTTCGCATCAGTTCTGAACCATCCAAAGCATCCCGAACGAAGAAATCACTGGGAAAATCTCGAACAGGAGGAATTGACTTCCCATAGCCTCGCGGATCAAAGGCTACTACAGTAAATTCATTACTAAGTCCTTTTAACTGTGGACCAAAGTCGCTCTGTGTTGTCCCAAGAGCACCTGGTAGACAGAGAACAACTTGTTCTTGACTACCTTCTTGCTCGTAACTCAAGTCTACGCCATTGACGTTAATTTTCGACGACACAGAGCTACAAAAATAAGCCTTGGCAATCTTCAGGTAGATATATAAGTGTGCTGTGGGTTTGAGGAGGTTTCTTGGCTTCTGGGATCTAAGAATCCTCGAAGAAGTGAAGATTGAACGACCAACTAACATTTTGAGCACGTTTGCTTGTAATGGACCACAGGAAGCCCAAACGTCTGGAATGCGAAAGTCATCGAAAGTATTGGAATGGACTAAGGGAATCCAGGATGAAGGAGTGGTCGTTTCAGTGGATTTTTTTCTTGGATAAGTCACATATCACACTCACTCGCTGACTTGCATATCAAGCCCTTAACTTGTGAAGGCATTTAACCCGTGAAATAAAAAATTTTAGTCAACGTGTAATAGTCAAAGAGACACAAGATGGAAAATGGAATTAGGGTCCACTGATGTGTATTACCAAGAGAAAATGAACTAAGAGAAGGAATCCCCGCGCCCCATCATGAACACTCTTTGATGCTATTTTTAGAATCATTGAAGCTATTTTTAGCAGCATTCATTTGATGTTTATTTTTCTGCACGCGCGTACTGCGCGTGCTCTACCCTGTTTGCTCATGTTTGCATGAGTTTTTCAAAAAAAAACTTGAGTTAACAGACACGCGTGAAAAACGTCTGCGCATGCTCTGAATCCGTATGCAAATTAGTCAAAACATATGAAAATTTGACTTTCAAACATGCGTGATAAATAGACCTCTTCGGCTCTAACGTAATGTTTACCCATTTCAGACCTCATGTCATTCCCTAGAGTATCATTTCTTTTTTTACAATAACTTACAAATTTCTCGCGTGCTGATTGGTTATTTTTTATCATCAATAAGAGGACAGACAGATAAAGCTGTCGTCAACCAGCGCGCGCTCTTTCCGTTGGTTGTTTTGATCGCTAAAAATGAGAAGTTTTTATCGTTTTTGTAACTGTAAAAAACAAATAGACATCAGTTTTTTATGTGTCTGTCCTCTTATTGACGATAAATTTCATCATCACATTGTCAAAGTAGTGTGGATTCACAAGCCTATTTGTTAAATAGCGCGTGCAATAAGCCTTTTCACAGTTTAAGAATCGATTCCACTGCGCATGCGATTTTATCCCGAATTTCTACCTTCTTTTGTCTAAACCTTCTTTTGTTCTTAATTAAACAAAAGAAGGTGAGAAATTCGGGATAAAAACGCATGCGCAGTGGAATCGGTTCTTAAACTATGAAAAGGCTTATATGCGCTTGCAGAAAAACAAACGATGACAAATGTGATTTTAAAAATAGCATCAAACGGTGTCTATGACGGTAAAAATCATAAATACCAGAATATTCCTTCTCTTAGTTCATTTTCCCTTGCTATTAGTCTGGTATCTATTTCAGGGTGTATTTTAGTGACCTCACTCAAATTTCTATTTCTACAGAACGGCTAAATAATCCATTACTTTAAATATCGCAATAGAAGAGAGAGCTTTCAAAGCTGTAAACTAATTAGTTCATAAGTTTCACTTCACTGGAACAAAACACCAATGAGCTATTTTGGATTGTTTTCAGCTTCGTCTTCGTAAACAAAATAACTTTTCGTGATTTCAAATGACAAAATCATAGCTCACCTGTCGTTATTTTGAACAAGAAACTAAAAATAGCATTTCTTCGATAACTAATTATTATATGCATTAGTGAATTGAAACCGCCACCCCCAGACCCTCGGAACAGGGCAGGGAATCTAACATTCATATATGTGGTTTAAATGTAGCACTTAACCCCGGTCCCCGGGGAAAGATTTACTCAAATTCTTGAAGTTATTGCATTTAAAATTATTAAAATGTTGAAGTACGGGTTAAATTTTCCGTATACCCATCCCGTATATCCTACAAAAGTACGAAAACAAGTACAAAGACACGTACTTTAATTCCACATTTCATGCATTATTTTCTTCGGCATGAAATATAGTGGAATTGCTTTATTAACATGACCTCAACATTTTACAGGTATTGTCAAAGCGTAAAAGCTAGAAACAGTAACAAGAAGAAACTCAGAGAAAAAAGTGATATGAAGTCTTGATGAAAGTATAACGAATGTTTTGGTCCTCAAATCGTTATTGAATTTGACTGAGAAATTGTTTACGTGGAAAAATACATAATAAAAATATAAAATCTATTTTTGTTAAATCAATGGGAGATTCCTAAACTGCTAAGGCAGACATCGCTTCATAAAAACAAATAGAAGAAAAGCTATATATATTTTGCTTTATTATACCGAAGAAAAGTCAACCAAGAAGGATAAAAGAAAAGAAAATATTACGGAAATATTCTCTTTTGTTTGATAAATCATTTGTACGTTCACTATGGACCATTATGAATATTATTTTTAAAATCTTTTCGGATGTTATTGGCATGCTTTTGTTATCTCAATCTTCTCAAAGGAGATGTCTTTCATGGAAAATTCCAAAGCTAAGGAAAGATATTACAATAATATGGAAAGAAAAACAATTTGGAAGTAGTGCCGGTGATTAAAAGCTTTTGAAACGAAGAAAAGTCGAAGGAACTTAACTGAACCCATGCTGTTTTTCGCCAGACATCTGCGATCAGGATTTACAGATATTCTATGCGCAAAAGCAACATCAAAAACTCCCGATTTACAATTTGTATCAATAAACGCACGGTTCTTACTCAATTTGAGGTAAATTCCTTATCTACTTTAACGAAATGTAGAATTTGACGAATTTCTGATTGAGTGGTTAAGAAAAGTTAATTTCTAAAGCCGAATGTGTTTATATGTTTTTGTTTAAATTGGTTACCTCATTGATAAAAATATAGCTAGACAATTAGCTCTGATATTATACTATGTTCAATAAACATATTTCCGAAGGAAAAAACCTCGTTTATACAGACGGCAACCGGGTTTGGATTTTCCTCATTTCCACTCTCTTTCTTCTCAGAGTTTTAAATTCCAATTTGAGTTTGAATTTTGAGTTTAATAGTCATGCTCATCTGACTCTGTTCGGTTACTCGTTTCAGAGTTTKATAAAATCTACGATGCAGTTAGAACTGTCTGAACTTATTTGAAGTCATAATTCATTAAACAACTCTTATACGCATCTATAGACTGGTATTTTGATTAGAATCTCAAGCCAAGACAGATATATAGTTTGTTATTCAGGGATTTTTCAGTCCTTCCTTCGCAAAACACGCAATTCCGCACACTGAATCCCCAGCATTGGATAGTCCCAATTAAGGGTTGGGTAAGATTCAGCGTTGGGAAAGATTATTGATGTTTTGGCGTTTGCGGGTAAAGAAACTTAATAATTAATCACAAGGAATTCTTATTTCTTCAAAAATAACTTGTCAAAACAATGGCTAATGATTCATCAACGAATAACGAGGGTAAACAGTTTTTTCAGAAACAAAACAATACCTACGAATTCGAAACCAGAATGAATTGATTCCAAATTTAATGCAAGTTTTTCCTAATAATTGTATTACTATTTACCATATTTACCCATATGTTTAAAAAACATTTTTTAAACACAATGAATAGTATATTCCCTATCTTTTATTTGTGGGTATTGTTTTTGAGATAATTAGTTGATATAATTTTGGAGATTCATTTGCCCAGATCTGTATTGCCTCAGCCCTTCATCAAAACCATTGCTTACAATATTTCAGTACAATACAATACAATACCATAAGTATTTATTTGCTATGAAATAGAGATGATAAAGTACATAGTTTTCTTGTTTAAAAAATAGTGTAAGATCTAGAAGCAAGCTTTCGTATATTTTGAAAAGTAAAGACTTTTTTTTGAATAACATCCCACGAGTTATTGTCAAGATAAAAATTGAAACTTGAAAGATATCGAAAAGACTTTCAAAATAATAATATTTTATTTCAACAATAAACGCCAACTTCCTCCTAAAAGTATTAATAAGAAATTAAAAAGTTTTGTACATCACGTACGAATTTTAAAAAGTCTAAAAAAAATTTATCATTTGGGGATAATATTCAAATGCAAGAAAAGAAAGCATCTGTTMAAAAACGATTATTAGCAAACGAGTTCAGTTCGACATAAACAGAATAGTTATCGTAAAAAAAAACTTCATAAATTAAAAAGAGAAGAAAACAAAGGGAACGCACAAGAAAAGAAAGTTTGCGCGGAAAAGGTTATGACTTTTATTTGAAAACAAAGCATTTTAACCAAGAGATACAATGAATAGACAGAAATTGCTTTCTTTTATTTCGCAGTATCATATTTTTTTTGTGATGGTAATTTAAAAAAAGATTTTTTGGAGTGATATTATAGTTCTTTAGCCTTTTTTTTTTTTTTATAATTTGTTTTTCTTGTTTAATATTTTTGGATTCCAGAGCCAACCCTCCTCTTTTATAAAGCCTTCGATCAAGAACTCAAACGAATGTCAGAACTTGGTATTGTAATAAATTTTAATCATACGCTTTGTGAATCCTTACAAAGCCAAGTACAGTTTAATCTAACAAAGTTCAAAGACGGCTGTCTAGCCCACAGAAGGTGCCCCACCGTTTGAGGACTTTTATTGACCAATGACTATTGATGACCTTGAATATTGTCAGTGTGAGAGAGAAAAAACCGCCCTTGAACCAAACTTGGTAACTGATTATTCAGATTATTAGTGGTTAAATGAAGTATTACTTTAAGTTAACTGTTAAGATTAAAACAAAAAACAAAAAAGAGGTCTATCCTGGCTGACCAGATGACGGATACTGACAAAGTTTAAGAAAAGGGAAATGAAAATAAACAATGGAGTAAAAGAAGACATGAAATCATGCTAATATTTAATGTTAACTCCACGATGTTCTGGGATYGTGGGTTCGAGATCTTTCTTTAACCACATTTATGGACTTTATTCTGAATTTATTCCAATATTATTGGTTTAAAATATTTATCGGACATTTCCAATAGAACTGATTTCTACTGTCACGACTATCTGATGATTATGGGGGGAAAACACGTCCGGATCCGCGGCGGGAGGAGGGGGCGGGAGGAGGGGAGGGTTGGGGTGATAAACAGAGTGCCCAGGGGTTAGGAAGCAAAGGAAGTTGAATTTTGAAAATATATTCCCAATATAAAAGATTAATATTTTAAAATCTCCGTCGCAAGAAAATCTCTATTCTTCGTAAATCGAATTAGGAAAGACGGAAACTATCAATTTTTTTTTGGGGGGGGGGAGGGAATCTGAGGCTTAATAATTTCAAATTCCTGTTAGCGAGTGATAGAATTGTTGAGCCCACAGCCCCTCTGTAAGAGTCTTCATAAATTCTTAAACGGGATATGACCTACCTAAAGAATCACCAAGGTTACAATAGCGTCAAACGGGGTCTAATTGTGGCGCGTTCGCGAATATAATCAGCGCGTTCTCCAGTGATTTGGCACTTTTGAATTTGTCAAGGTTTCGGGAGAGACGTCGAGAGAGAAACACCAAGTCAAGATGTTTAAAGAACTTCTCATTCTTGCTTTTTTCGTGGGGCTCGCGTCCGCGAAAATCATTGTAAAATCAGAAAACGACTTAAAGAAAAGAGGTGAGTTGGGGAATTTCATTGTGAAGCTATTTCTTGAATTCAGAAAGTCCTTTGTTTATTCTTACCTAAAATTTTTAGTGAAGCTTGTTTATGTTGGCGCAAAAGACTTTCGAAAATTATCTAGTAAATTTAAGGGTCTTATGAGCTTAAACTATGAAACTTTTTAGTTAATGTCGGTTTAGAGGATATTGTCTATACGCCAATCTGCTTAAAAAAGGATGAAAACTGTTTTTGTTTTATGAACTTTATACAATTCTATTTTTCTATTTTCTTTACGAAGTTTTCTAGCGATAAAGAAGCAAGCCGAAAAAGAATGTGCCGAGATTTTTCATCTTTTTTTATAAAGGTTTTCATTCTTAATTCTGAAAGGCATCCGATATTAAAGCAAATTGTTTCTGTAACCGCATTTGAATTGAAAAGAATAAAAATATGTGACAAACTTCGTTTAATTCAAAAGCAAACACTTTTATCTATATATATATATATATGTATAGATTAAAAAGGTTTTGCCTTAAATGAGCTTTCTAAAAGTACTTTAGAGTACTGATAATCAGTTAAGAAGATTTGTTCAAACAAATATTTTCAAAACGCCTCTCGAAAGTAATTAACACCTGCTTGATGTTGTAAAGAATGGATGTAACTTTTCATGTTTATTTTAAACAATGGGTTATTTTAATTAGTTCGACCTTCGACATCTGCTAACGCCTTTGCACCAAAACAAATAGAAAATAAAACATCTTAAGAAGAAAGAAAGAAAGAAAACAGAAAGAGAGAGAGGGAAGATAGAGAGAAGGAGGGAGGGAGGAAGGGAGGGAAAAAAAGCAAATATAAAATAAAACATCTCAAGAAGAAAGAAAGAGAAAA